ATCTTTCAATTAACCGGGAAAAAAAGCCGAGCCGTAATCTCGGAGCCTCCTCTGCAGCCAGATGTGACCTGCTTTTCCCAGGACATTGGACTTGACGTCTCGCGGGGGCATGGGGACAGGGCTGGGGGGTGGGTTGCAGCCCCCTCCCCGCCTCCACCAAACCCCATTTTGGGGCCGAGTGATTTTTCGGGGGGGGGGGGGGTGTTTGCCCCCTCCTGGGAGCTTTCTGCCAAGCCTCTGACTCACACCGCCAGCCAGTTTTAATGAGTCTTGACAGATTAAGCCTTAATTCCTGCTCTTTATCAGCTTCCCCTCCTACCCTCCAGCAAATGACAACCGGGAGCCGCCAGGCTCTGTGTCACCGCCCGACTGGCGGGGACGAAAGGTGACCGTGATGCCAGCTGGGGACCCCGGCGGATGCTCTGCCTCCGTTGCAAGGAGCAGGAGTGCCCCCCAACCTTGGTGGGGTGGGAAATAAGCGGGGACCTCCTGCCCGGGTGCTCAACCCCCCCCAAAAGTGGCCTGAAATGCTGCTGGAGCAACACACGGGTTGCAAAGCCACCGTCACCGAGGTCTTCCTCGCCTCCAAGCATCCCGGTACGGGGGTTTCTGGATGCTGCTCCAGCAGGGAGGGACCTCGGTGCCACCAAGGGTAGCACCAACCTTCGTGTCCCCATCCTGCTCCTCTCCATCACCTCCATCTCATCCCCTCGCTGGCTTATAAACCTGATGCCATGCAGCACCGGGACTCGCTCCCAAGGACCACAGGGATGTCGGATCCCTTTTCCTGGCGGGATGAGGGCAAGGGGAGGGTCAGGAGGACCCAGCCTCCTGTTTGCTGATGGCCATGGGGAGGCATCAGGCTAAATCTCCAGGAATTGGGAGGGAAGGCCACGGCCTTGGTCATGTCGCTTAATCGCCGCCTGTCACCGATGTCAGGAAAGCTGGACGGGACACGGGGGGTTCTTTGGGAATTGACTTTGCTGCTCCACACCAGGTGGGCTCAGAGCCCGGCAATCCCTGACGGCAGCGATGGCTGAACCCTCCCAAGATAGGGACAGGAGTGGCAGCACCCCAAAAATGGCCAGGAGGGGAAACCGGAGCGGGACATCCTCGCCTGGTTCTGGTGATGCTCGGATAAGGAGTGTCCTGCTCAGGGGACAGCCGGGGACGTGCTGTCCCGCCACGTCCACCTGCTAAAATAAGCCCCGGCCGGGACTCGTGCCATGAGATAGCCCAGAAAAAATTAAGCCAGGACACGCAGGATCTGTTTTGGGGATGGGGAGGCTGCCGGGCCCCTTTCCCGAAAGGATAATTTTGGCAGGGAGACTGGGACCACGCGTGTCTGGGGGGGGGGTGAGGGAGGACGGGCTGAGAACGGGCACGTTTCGGTGCAGGTGCAGGGTTCGGCGGTGCCGGTGCCGTCCCAACTTGACAGGTTTTGTCTCTCCTGCGCCGCAGCCACTGCCGGTGCCGCCATGAGGGCTGTGCTCTGGGACCTGCTGCTGCTCTGCCTCTTCGCCCGGGCACGGGGCGACTGCCGCGGGGACTGTCTGCGCTGCGACCGCCACCTCTACCGGGACAGCTTCGACGTCCTCGTAAGTCCCTCTGCCTGCTGGCTTGTTCCCCGCCATGGGCAGCACCCATGGGGGTAGCACCCATGGGTGCTGTGCCAGCTGCATCCCCCCCACCCTGGGTGGGCACCCTCCTCCCTGCGCCAGGGTCGGGGTTTGGGGTCGGGGGGGCTTTGGCTGCCGGTCGGCGTGGAGCTTCAAGGGGAAGATGCCGCCTGCCGTCACTGTCCCTCCTCCTTGGGCACCCCCCAGGGACAGCATCGGACAAGATGGTCCTGAGGGAGGATGCAGACCCCAAATCGGCTGCCGGGAGTGATGGGGACAAGGCTGCGATGGCCCAAGGAGAGTCCCAGGAGGGTCCCAAGACCCCGAGCATCCCCAGCTCTCCTGTCCCCATGGCTTGCGGCATCGCTGTCCCCACCTACGCCAACCCCGGACCCCCCCAGACCCTCGCCCCATCCTCCAAGGAGCCACCAAAATCGCCCTCTGAGCCCCATCAGAATGGGACCAGCTTTGCAGCTGGCTGGCGAACCACCGTGTTTTGGGGGACCGGGCATCGGGCACCCCGCAGCCCCTCTCGCCCTCTTGATTTGCCTCCAACACTGGATAGGAAGAGACATTAAAGAGCATTTTGGGTTTTTTTCCAGCCCCTCATCCTTTCTTTTCCCCTCTGCTGAGCCGTGGCCGTGCCCTGGCCGGCAGCATTTCTTTCCTTCCCGTTCCCCCTCTGCCCTCGGGGGATTATCCATCGCCTCCCCCCCGCCCGCTCACCTATTTATTAGCGACGATAAATCACAGCGGGTTGAGACATCCACCCGAAAGGAGCCGGCAGCTCGGGAAGCCCCCAGGGCTGGGACATGTCCCCCCAAAACCAGGGCGGGGACCAGTGACTTCCAAGGCAGTGCGGAGATGCTAGAGCCACCCCAGTGCCACCCCCTTGCTGGCAAAGCCTCCTGCAATCGCACGTCGCTGCCACCGAGTTCTGGGGCACAATCTCCCTGGTTTTGCCCCAAAATGCTGTCTTGCAGTCTGAAGGCACCAGCACCCTCTGCAGCCCCCCCCCCGGCCTTCCTACCTTTTCTGGAGCTGCATTTTGCTCTCCGGCCAGCAAGATGGAGAGGAGCTGGGGTGGTTGGCGTCATGGGTCACCTTGGTCCTGCTTCTGGAGCTGCATTTTGCTCTCCGGCCAGCAAGATGGAGACGAGCTGGGGTGGTTGGCGGCTCATGGGTCCCGTGCAAGGTTGTATCTCAAAGCAAGAGTGGTCAGAACCAGGAGCAGAGGAACCCGGGGTCTTTCGAGGCTCAGTTTCAGCTGGAAGAAGCATCGTGGTGGGATTTGATACAACCCTCCACCATTTCCAAAGCAACGGCCAAGGAAGTCCCATCAGCGACGTGGCTGATCCATCCTTCAGAGGTAGAAACAGGAGATCCCCCTGAAGTTACAGGCATGCCTGCACCAGCACCGCAGCTGCCAGGGCAGGACAGGGACCAGCTGATGGAGCTGGTCTTCAAGATGTGGATGAATCACCTACGTCCTCATCCCCAGAGTCATCTAGGGACGGTGCAAACCCACGGTGGCACCGTTAATGCCAACAGAAGATCAGAAGGAGCCTCCCCAGGTAGTTTCGGCACTGGATGTGGAGGAGCACTGGCTGGTGTTTGCTGAGGATTCCCAAAACACTGAGAGCAGAAGCCATTTCCACGTGAATTAAGACCACAGCACGATGGCCGAGGACCCTGGGGTGTTCATGGGGCTGTTTTGTGGATGAGTGATAGGACCACTGATGGTCTTCAGCCTGACGCCTGGGGTAGTTCCTCTTGAAGCCTATTAGCTGGTGCTCATCAGAGCTGTAACCTGCATGTGATCCACCACCTTTCATCTCCATCGCAGGGCACGGTCAGGATGCTGTCCATCAGCCGTAGACCCTGCCAAAGCCTTGGAGATCCCGGGACAGAATCTTGGCTTGGCGCAGGATATTCCCAGTGCCTCCGCAAGGACCCTCGTAGGTGTCCCGGCATACAAGACCCTCGTCACCACCTCACCTTGGGACAACTATTTTTCTTTTTTCTTTGCGTCTGAAGAGCCTGGCTGCCCTCGGGGATGGAAATAGCCAATTGCTGCAGAGCCACGTGCTTGAGCTGCAGCCCTGAGACACCACGTCGGGACTCGTAGCACCTCTCACCTGGCGAAGTTAATGAACCCATGGTGAAGAGGGTCTTTGCAAGGGTTTTGGTCTTGCAGACGGCCTGTAGCAATGAGACACGCCAGCGTGCCTCAACATGGGGTCCCCCAGTTGGTGTTAAGCGGTTAAAAGAGCCCACCATGAAGATAACACTGGGATGGAGACACTCCAAGGCGAGGGAAGACAACCCTTCCCTTCTGGGCCCTCCAGCCCTGGTTTCTTCAGGCATTTATTTAGTTTGGTTCTTCTACGATATTCTCCTGGATGGTTTCCCCTGGGTGCCGGTTTTGGTGGTACCAGCCCACATGGGGTTATCACCCCACGACAGTGCCGGGTCTGTGACCCGCCTTGATGGACGAGGCCTCTTGGAAAGGGATGAAACACAAACGTGGTGGGATGCACCCATGGGTGCTGAGGAAGCCCGATGGCACCTCTTGATGAGGTTGCTCTTGATGGCCTTTGAAGGGATGTGGCGATCGGGGCGGGTTCCTGGGGGCTGGGAGGAGGCAGATACCACACCTATCTTCGAGGAAGGCATGAAGGAGGATCTGGGAAGCTATGGGCTGGTCGGCCTCACCTCAGTCCTTGGGGAGGAGGTGGAGCACATCATCCTGCAAAGCATTTCCAAACGTATGAAGGACAAGAAGGTCACTGGGAGCAGCCAGCATGGGTTTATGAAGGGGAAATCGTGCTTGACCAACCTGATAGCTTTCTGCAGCGAGACAACCAGCTTGTCTTCACTTTCATCAGGCTTTGACATTGTTTCCCATGACATCCTCGTAGACAAGCTGCTGAAGCACAGGGTAGATAAATGGGCAGTGACGTGGACTGAAACCTGGGGGACCTTGACGTCTTCATTAATGACCGGGACAATGTGGCAGACGCACCCTCAGCAATTAGCAGGTGATGCGGAGTCGGGAGGCGTGGATGGTAGACCACAGGGTCATGCTGCCATCCAGAGGAACCTTGCCAGGCTGGAGAAATGGGCTGGTAGGAACCTCATGAAGTTCAACAAGGAGAAGAGCAAAGTCCTGCCCCTGGGGAGGAACAGCCCCAGGCACTGGGACATGCCATGGGCACGCGGCAGAGGTCCCTTCCCACCTCCGCCGTCCCGTGACTGGGTGATTTTTTGGGCTCATGCCTGGCTGAAGGACCCAGCAGTGCAGAGCATGGGGTGGTGGGATGGGAGCACGGACGTCACCGGGAAAGTGTGGAACATGTCCAGAGCGGAGCAGAGCCTGTCTAGGGCGGGCCGGGAGAAGGATGCTGACCAGCTGCCATGGCTCCCCCACATCTCCACCACCACCACCACCTCTGGGAGCCCACGAATGGGTTTTGGGAGGGGACACCTCACCGAATGAGGCCAGGCAAGGGCTGATGAGCTGCCGGCACCTTTCCATGGGTGTCTTCCAACGTGTTGCATCGCTGGACGGGCTGGAAGTGGGGGGGATGCCCGAGCACCTGGCATTTGGGGTACACCACCTGGCGCTGCCCGGTGTCCCACAGTCCCGGGGGGACCAAAACCCATCTGACACCCATCCACGTGTCTCCCACGCAGGTCTGCATCCTGGAGTGCGAAGGCGAAGCCGTGCCGCGGGCCACCTGGGAGCTGTGTGCCGCCGCAGCCG